GTGTAGTGGGAGCCAGGAGTAAGAACTGCTGCTTGTACATTGCTCTGTCCAATGCCCGCGACGCAATCTATATGGGTGGCGCAGGTTTTGTGTCGATGAGCTCCAGGCGCCTATCAAACGCATCAGGACTGACACGGACAGAGCCAATGGCATGAGGTTGCAGATGAAATCTGCCCCAGTAGGTTGTCAATTAATTGAGCCGTTCTCGCCCAAGGCCATCGTTCGTCCTGATTCGCATGTGTTCGGGTCGCCAATTAATGGGGCTCATCAAAAAGTTAGTAAATTAAATGATATCACGCTGCTGGCGACCCGTAAGTTCCAGATATGGTGCAGCGGGGATGCCGACAGCCTCAGCACTTTCGCCATAATGATGATCATTCAATATGTCGGCGCTCATTGAGGCAGAAACCCCAGAACATCAATCAGGGGTGCTCTATATTTTTCTCGCAATCCAAGCCCAAGGCACTCAGAATGCAGGGAGATGACTTTGATGACAAAGACAAATGATGGCAACTGCATCATACGCCCAAAGAGTTCACTGAGATACTACAAAGATGTTGAGCACAACGCCAATACATGGCAGCGCATCACACGGAGGCACATGAGTCAAACATGCGCCGAATACGCCCAGGAGTACTGAGGAGCTCGGGGGTTACCACTGGACACGTGCGTTTGTTTAGGGGCAGCCCGCCTAGCGGCCAGCTGTGGACCGTGGTGCAGCGGAGCTAGGAGCGGCGCATGGAGGCGCCACGTGGTTGTTTGATGGGAATATGCCCCGTGGGGCATAACGTGGTTGCTGACCACGGGAAGTGTGGTTGCTTGGTGGGAATGTGGCCCTTGGGGCACACGTGGTGCCTGTTTGTGGGCAGTGAGGCGTCGTGGGTTGAGTTGTGGTGCAGCAGCGGGCGTGGCAGAAAGATTCCGGGTATCAAAAGAGCATCTCCTAGGAATGGGTGTATTTGCCAGAGGGGCGCGGACAGCGCCGTAGGGGAACTCTGTTTTGTTGCACCCGGCATGGCAGCTGTAACAACGTTTGCGTGGGGTCCATGTGTGTTTTGCGGTCTAGGCGCTCGGCCTGGCTGCCTGGCTCCCCTGGCCGTGTGGCAACGTTCGCCACAGCCTGAGCGCAATAGCGCTCGACCTTTTCGAAGGTCGCCGCCAGTCTGTGCCTTTTCTAAGCCGCTTTCCTTGCCGCTCAAGACCAGCAGTGCCAGCGCGGTCGTGCTGCAGAAGCAACCACCCTTCGTCGCTGCACAGCCTTGTCGAGGTGGAGAGAAGCGTTTCCCATGTCTTTCACCGACGTGCTGTGGACAAGGCAACCCTGACCCGTGGACCTGACCTCCACTTTGACTTCGTCGACCGTTGAGGGGCAGTTGCGACCGCTTGGGGCGCCCAGAGCGGCAGCTGTGAGAGGTTCTACAAGCGTATTTGCATGGCTGGCTGTCAGTGGGGCTTTTGCTTTCCGTTTGAAGCTTCCCCTTGCCGTCGCCTCGGTTTTGTTGGTGGTGTCGGCGTGCCAAGCAGTTCTTCATGAAGAGCCGGTTTGCGCGAGGGGCGAAGCTTGTTCGTTGAGTGCACCCTCAACTGCTGTGGTGCTGAGGCCGTCGGCATGTCTCAGCTGCCCGTTTGAGGGCGACTTTACCGCGCTATCTCTGGGGACGACGGCCAGAATGGACCACCGTTCTTTGCACATAACATATTCCCGACGATCGAAAGGTCAGTAGATTTACCCCAGCGGCATGTTTGGGAACGTCTCCCACAGCCATCGTCTGGGCGATTTGCCTCGCGACGGGTTTGGCCCCCCTGGGAAACGCCAATGGCGTTGCCTGCCGATTGCCCAAGGCGGTGGCGACGACCACGATTGGGTTGAGCGCAAATTTGCACACACGCCTCGCTCTTGGGTGGTGTTGACCGCACCATCTCTCCTCTTGGATGCGCCGTTGTAGGCTATGCAGGACGGGCGCACATACCGTTGGCGGTGTTCTGGTGCAAAACGCGGGGGTTGAGGCGTGCGCAGATTGAACGTGCAGCATGCCGGTGCAAGGCAGGGACAATTGGAAAGGGCAACCACCGCATTCACGGGGAGCAAAAGCGGGAAGGGACCGCAGTTTTGTTCGCCAAGATTGATCGCACCCTTGGTTGATAGACTTGAGGGCCCTAGTAATATTTGTGCTTCAGCCTACGAGAGTGCGATGCGCGGCCCTGCGCATCGCATGCAGTTCATTCCCGGGAACGGGTTGACCGTGGGGTTGGCGGGAGCAGGTGCTGTGCGACTCGCCCAATCGCTCCCAGGGGCTGCAACACTTCTTCACAGGGCGAGAGGACACGCGAGGGAGTTGTGTGAGGCCGGCAGACTTTGCCTGCCCCTCATGAGCCGTCACCAGTTTGGGCGGAATCACTTCTTTGAAAACCGCTCATTCTCAGATGCTCTTCTGGGGGCAAGAATACACCTCGCATTCCATATCACATTCATTTCTTTATATCGTTTGCGTCCTTTTGCAAAAGGGTGGCGAGAGAAGCACTGCTCGAGCGGGACAAACATTCGGTTTACAGAACTGTACGTGCCCGCCAGCGCCAAGGTGCAAAGGCCCTCGATTTGCCCTTTAAAGAAATACTACTAGTAGAGTGGCGCAAGGAATCAATGGCGTGCACAGCAACATACAGCGCCAGCGTCATAACACAGCATCAGCGCTTCTCACACTGGTGCAGGCACTGCAAATGCACGCGACGAAAGGAACAGATGCGCCTAGCACTTCCTGGGGATGGAAACAAGCTTTCCAGACGCGCACACAATTCGTATCTTTGATCTCCACCACTCTCCAAAACTGTGTATGCGCCAGTCATGGCACCACGAAGCTTCAGGCATCCATCGTGTCGATGTGGCATGTGCGGATCTACTCCATGGCTATGGTGCTCTCTGTCACTCTATGCTGGCGACTTCTACGAGTGGCGCCCACCGTTGTTCAACAACAGATTACACGGTGCGAATTGCAACATCATTCAGAAGCAGATCTGCATAGCACATTGACACCTTAGCATAGGTGCACATATCATAGCAACGTTGAGAGAGCCCAATGGGAGGTTAGCCCTTGATCGAATGTGGAACCTGGACGATGGCCGCTGCGGTCTGCGTCACATCGAAAAGACAGCTAAGACTCCGCATGCCAATTTTCTGTGTCTGACGGTGGGGACCTTTCTCTTCGGTCTCTCAAATAACAGTTCCACAAGGCTGAAAACAGGACTGGAGACAGCGGTAAACAACATGGGTGTGCCATTCTTTGTTTGTAACTCAACACTGGGTTGACGCCAATAACATGATGAAACAGAGCATTGGGGAGAACGGTGGCAATGTTGGGGCACATTGTGGGCTTGGTGGCATCAGATAACAGGGCACAACAGACATCTTGATGAAAACCAAAATGTGACCACCTGAAAAGAAGCCATGGGATCGGCCAGCTCATTCACTGGTGCTAGAACTCAAGGAACCATGGCCTGTTCCGGTGTCAATTGTCCAACTGGCAGCCAGTTCCGATTCCGCAACACCTTCTGTAGACAGCACTTGTGAGGTAAAAGGAAAAAGAAGTTCTGGCAGGGACGATGAACAGTATCAGAACAAGGTCTGCAATGCCATGTTAGGATGACCAACATTACTGGCAACAAACATGCCACAGAGTTTGCCACAAAGAAACAGCTTGAACACCTACTAACCTGGAGACATACCCAGTATCTACTTCCCTAATGCCATGGACATAAAGCATGTGTGCACAAAAGACCAGATGATGTACCTTGATGGAAGGCACACAAAGGGCTGGGATAGTTATTTGCTCAACAATACAGATTCATGAACACCGAGTGTTTGCATCCGGTTCTAGATTACTGGCTTACCAAGAAGCATGTCAGCAATGGCAACTGTGGGCTGAAGAGCTGCAGTATAACTGCAATGTGGGGTTGGGATGAGAATCCTGCACGCCAAGCACCCAAGCAAGCTCAACATCGACCAAGCTCTTCAATGCGCATGGTCTGAATTGACAGTAAGATGGTGGGCAAAGCCATTGGTTCCGTGGTGCTCCAGTGACCCGTTCTTGTGAAGTAGCATTTCCTGCAGACAGTCAGTGTACGGAATGTCATATGATGCCTGATGCTGCTGCCCCTATCCTGCTCGGCCTCTGCCTGCCCACCATTAAACTTGAACCTGCTCCAGCCACAAATGAATCAAAATCGCAAAAAGCATCCAACCTTGTCGAAGCAACGAATCATGGAAGCATCGATGCCATTATTGCCAGCGCCAATGGTTGTCTCAAGAGATCTCTATCATTGGTTGACAGGAAGCTGGCAGCGGAAGACCAGAACGATGGTCAATATTTCGCTAGAGAAAAGAGCGAGCATTCCATGGTATTGGGCAGCCCCCTGCTGAACAAATCCAGACTGCTCTAGAAAGTTCGGAAAGAGCAGGCATCAGATGGATCGGTCTCCATCACACATGGACAGCATCGGGTGACAGGTGTTCTGCGCTGTCCCCGGTTCCAATTCAGTAGTACCTGTCCAAAGGTCATCATGTGCCCATAAACATCCAAGTTGAAATTTCAGCATTTTCCAAAACAGCCACATGTTTGTGCACAATACAGGACAACTGGTTATCCTGTGATTTCCTGTCATGCTGTGCCTTGCGGCTTAGTGTGAGTGTTATGTGGCTCAAGGCCTTTCCCTGCCAGGTGGAACAACATTCTCATGCCATGGACATGGATGTAGTAGACTTGTCTTGGAGTCCCTTTCTATCCTTTCTTCAACCATTGTGCCTGTCCTGCAGACAGTGGCAAAACGACTACCAAAACGCAAAAGGATGGGAAAACGTCTTGGATGTACACACACCCACATTAATCCTGCACAGCGCCAGTTTTCCCTTTTGTAGGCAAACTTATACAAAGAAATTCAGCCGCCACCCACCATCACTCACCTTGCCTCCATTCATCACAGAAGACTCCTCCAGCATGTAAATCGGCTCATTTTGCACTTGACTGCACAAAGTCCACACAGATGAGGATGTGGTCACTGGGCCAACCACGTGCAGGGAGCCTGTTGGAGCACATTCTCGCCAGAGGCTGCTGCAGCACGCCCACTGGTTCAATTGGCATATGATACATCTTATTGCCATCCCCACTGTGCCGGCGGGTGCCATACCAGATGTAGTCAACTGTCTCACGCCCTTTCTTGTGCCAGCTGGTGAACGATGGCTCATTCCCAAGGACATCAAAATAAGCACTTTGCAGCTTTAGAGGTGACAAGGCTGTCCATGAGTTGCTGTCGATGTCTGACTCTGTCGCTGAGCTCCCTGAGCTTGACTGCAATGATCTCTCATCTTCAGAATCCCCATTGATTGCATCGTCCTTTCCAGATGCCAGCTGCAGGGACTGCAAGGTCCATTGATTATCCATCATCAACCTGTCATTGTGCACGTTGCGCTCTCCAGTCTCAGCTGTGGTGGCCAAGGAAATAGCAGATGCCCCGTTCAGACTCTGCCCTGTTGCAACCTCATTTGCGAACAACTTTGGCTTTTTGTGGCGACCGGCACTCGTTGAATCCTCACTAGCTCCTCCACACCCCCTGTGTTTCTTTTTCGACTTCAGCTGACCTGCAGTAGCGATCCACAAGATGAACTCTTCTGCACACAAGGTTAGAAATGGCCATTGAAGCCCATCAGTGGATGCAGAATTCACAAGCACACGAAGCAGGGCAAATCTGGGCCTTGGACCTGGCATATGCAGGTGTGGCAATGGTGTTACAAGTTCACTTCAGTTGCCTGTTCCAACCATGCTTCCAAACACACAGTCGACCACCAGATCTGCACCAATCAACTTGACCCCTGCACAGTGAATCATAGCCCTACTCTTTACCTGATAGACGAGCCCTGTTGTGTGCCAAGCACTCAAGCCAGCTTCTGCGCAAGAAATTGTATATTGGGCTGTGGGGGCTCGTGTTCAAGTCCCCAGCAAGGATGGCGATGCCGTTCTTCTGGGCATCGCCATGGCTTGAGAGTCCATCCAGCAGGTTCAGTATCTTGTGAAGTTGTGCCATTTTAATGTCCCCACGCTTCGGATTGAACAGCAGGTGTGTGTTTGCCACCCACAGCGTTGGAAACGAAGGGTCGTCTGCACACAAAAATGTGCCCAATTCCCGAAAACACATTTGCCCAAGCAAGACAATGCAGGGTGATCGTACAAGAAGTAAATACTGGGCATCAGGCCAGTGGTAAGACATCTGCAGTTCGTTGGCAATGGGGGCGCAGGTGCATGCAAGTGGGTAGGCAAACTGGGTGTACTGGGGCTGTACAAGACATGATTGTGCACCACCACAGTTGCACACATATAGCCAACCCACTTGGTTTGAGGATCATCCAAAAAGTAACCTTTAGGCAATTGCGCACGATCGATGCATATTCTTCTCCTTTGTACATTTACAGCCAATCAGTTTCAGACTTGGCTATTGAATAAAAAATACAACCTTGTGGAAAATGGCTGGATGCAACAGACTCGTTGATTGAAATGACTTGGCATTCAACCGTACCTTGAAAATTCAGCCCCACAACCAAAGCAACGTTTTCCCTCAATCTCAATTTGCTGAAGCTGATCGACCTCATGCAGCAGAGATCGAACTTAGAAGTACGCCTATAAACACCGATCAAAGTAAATGAGCATCCTTGCTGTGATGTTACACACATGACGCTTGGTGGTTGGAGAGCCCTGGGAAACAAGATTGGCGTGAAAATGTTGGCAATCGAAGCTGTCAATTGCTGCTTTTGTGAATATGCAGCCGGCCATTCAATGTCCAACCAGTGATCCAATAGCCGCAATCAGAGCAGAGCAACGACAAGTGTCCTGCATTGGTGAAAATCATTTGCCCCTCTGTCAATCGCACCAGAATGTTGCACAGCCGTCACTGTACTCCCCAGTCCTCTTTGCATAGTGCGACATAAATCTGACAGGCCAAGCATAGGGTCAGTGCTACCTTGACAACACAGAGCAGTTCCATCAAAGTGGAGCTAAAGTTCAATTATTTAAAGTACATTTCTGTGCTTCACCCTGGCAGCCCATTCAGCAACCAGTCAACAAAATGTGGCAGTCAGGTGCTTGGCCAAGGAAGCGATTGCATGTTTGAGGCTTGAATGCAGATTGGCAAGGTGAAAGTAAGTAGCAAACGTGTCTAGCAGCAGCAGGGACTTCAGACCCTGTCAGCATCCTCTGGTACGTGTTCCCCAGATGCTGGGCTGGGCAGGCTCTATCAGTGCTGCAAGTGGCTGTCCATCCACGGGGGGAGAGAGACATTTTGGCAACCTGTCAATCTCATGCTCATCAAAGATAGACCCAAAGCCGTCCAACACAGTCAGGGACAAAAAGGTCAGAATGTTGTCGATATCTGCAGACCTTGTTGCCCGACAGGAGCATCCAGGATTAAGAATGACAATGGCAGTGCGCTTCTAAAGTTGCTGTTGTGAGTGACTGCAGTCCAACTTCGTCCTAGATGTGAAACTCAAACAGACGCACATGAGCCATACCAATGGGGAGTACGCTTAGGCATGGCTCAATGTTCCCAGTGGGGACTCCCCACGTTTCATCGAAGCAGTTCTGCTGCGACATACCCCCTTGATCTCAGCGCTGTTTCCAGTTGATCATAGTGATCGACTTCTTGGAGGCACAGCACGTCTGGTGCATGTCCGTCTATTTCCTGCAGGATCAGACTCAAGCGCACTGTCCACCGCATATGATGTCCACCTGTATAAAGAAAGGTGTGTTTGGAAGCCTGCAACAGCAGCAGCGCCCAGGCGTTAAGTACAGCCATGGCTCGATGCACAATTAGAACACAGATAGCCTGGTCATGGAAGGAGGTGCGAAGCGCTGATATTGGCCCTGTGGTTGCGTCGCCCCAATATACCTCCACAGATCCCAGCGCAAAAAAACATTGCGCAGGCAAAATGTGCGAAATGTTACCAAAAAACGCACGTGAGAACAACCTGTCCAGCGAAAATACAAATGGCCGCGCAGTGGTGCAACTATGCAATGCGTCAATCGGGAAGCCGGCTCACCAACTGGTCTCCCAGTATGTTGTACGACATGATCCGGAAGCAACCAGGCCCCCGTTCCGCCTGCGCCGCCACCATCTGTGTCACGATCAGTCCACACATGGGCGGCGATTCCGCACACCCCACAGCCTACTCCCCGCAGGTCGGTGCGCGACCGCTCACGTGGGCCGATCGGGCCATTAGGGACGCGGCAGGTTGCCCGTTGCCGACGCTTGGAAACATGAAGCTGCCGGCCGCCAGCGCTCAAGGCACAGGAGACCAAAACACAGCCGCGAGAGCACGTCACCAACAGGTGAGATTATCTATGGGTCGGCGTAGAGGTTGAAAATTGCGGCGTCCTCACTGGTCAAACAACAGCATTGAGCGCAAAACCCACCGTCTTCCCGCCTCGCTTCCACCGCCATTCTCTAGTAGCAAGGCAGGGGGGTACATTTTGCGCCGCGCAAGGTGGTTTGGCTGGCTGCATGCCAAGCAACTGCCTCCACGCCGATATGTCCAGCAGGCGCTTTGCCCACCGCCCCATACATAGGCTGGGGAAGTGGCCAGCTGTTGGGGGTCAAGTGAACATGCGAGCAAGGCCCCTCAAAGGGAGGCGCGACAGCAGCGAATTTGTTGACGTCACATGTGGCGATTTTCTGAGTACCCCGCCTGAACCATGTACCTTGAGGATTGATTGCGATATGATAACTGAATTATAGGAAAGTCTGTGCGTATTGGAATGTGTTGTAGTTGGTTGTGAAGGCTGTAGGTTGTGCCCTGCCCGTACGACGATGAAGCAACCGTGCCAATGATGCGTGCTGCCCTGTGAGGAAAACCCATGAAGGATACTGCTGCCGAACATCCTTGAACCGGAAGGCTGGATGACAAACGACGACCCTGTGAGCCTATGCTGGAGAGGTGATGACGTGCCGCCTTGTACAATCGCTGTGGAGTGTCAGGAGGACGAGCTGACCCAATGAAGAGCGGGCCCAACTTTGGATCTGACGGAGGGAAGGCTGGAGAGTGAGTCACACTGCGAGCTGCGCCTCAGCAAGGAGAATCGGGCCGAATGCCTTGGGTAATTGACGGGTATGGTAGAGTTCTGGGCGGCAAAGGCGATCCCCGTGACTTAGGCCGGGTAAGGATACCCTGAGTAACGCAGTCGGCGGCTTACCAAGGGTAAGGCACCATGGGTAACGCAGTCGGCGGCTTACCAAGGGTAAGGCGCCATGAGTAACGCAGTCGGCGGCTTACCAAGGGTAAGACACCCTGGGTAACGCAGTAGGCGGCTTACCAAGGGTAAGGCAGCCGGTGGATTGGGAAGGGTAAGGATACCCTGGGTAACGCAGGCTAGTACTTAGACGGGAGTGGCCAGTATGTTGAGACGTGGGAGGCGCACCCTGGGTAAAAGGTACATTCGTACCTTGTATGAAATTGAAGGGACCTTTCAGAGAACCCTGGTAACGGTGCCGCGCCGCGGCTTGGGTATTTAAAGACACACGGCTTCTCTTGTAACGACCAACTGCGAACCTTGGGCCCACCTCGCTGTTGTGTGTGAGTGACCTTCGGGGATTGTACCCCGCTGAGTGGAGAACATGCCGCGCTGACAGACGCCCATTGTGGGTGCACTTCGCCGTCGAGTTTAGCTCGGACGGGCGAGCGTCTCAATTCGTGCGTGACCGGCTCATTGCTGGAAGATTCGCCATTGGGACGCCATTTCTGCGGTGGTTCGAGGCTTGGTTTCGGAGCGCAGGGCGGTTTCCCGAGGCGGGACTCCGCTGGGTGCTGTGCGAACGGTAAGGAAAAGTGAAGGTAAGGAGCGATCAAAGGAATGGCGCGTGACGGAAGTCCAGTTTCCTCTGATGGCAGGGGGACCCCGGAATGGCGCGGGGACGATATTCCTGTTCTTGATGCTCCAGTGGCTCGCGATAGGGCCCCCTTGACGGTAATTGGAAGCGGCGATGCCGCCTTTGTGATTCATGATGAAAGGGAGGGACACCGCCCTCCCACAGCGAATGGGTCAGGGAGTTCCCTTCAATCTCCCCCACCAGGACGCCCGGGTGCTTACCGACGTCTTTTGGAAGAACGCGCGCGGGAGGAACGAGCCCGCGAGGAGCGCGCTGGGCGACCCCGCGCCCACTCGGCGGAAGGCCGAATGGCTATGCCATCCCCAGGCTTACTGGAACTCCAGGAGTCGAGGGAAAACGATGAGAATGAGGATCCCCGGTATGTAAGGCAGAGGCCCAATGGCCGCCCGGGGCATAGCAATGACAGGGAACCTCGAGGTAGGGAGATTTCCCAGGGAGCCCCCCCATCCAGGCGGCGGTCTCCACGGCGAGACCCGCCGGAGATGGTTCCTTCACCCTCGGAAACGAAAACAGGGCAGCGCTCCCGTTCCCGGAAGGGACGCCGAACTAAGGACCGGCGACATGCCAAGCATGACCGGTCACCTAGTAGCGACTCCAGCAGTGAGTCGGATAGCGACAGACGGAGGTCACATTCCCGTCGCCAAAAGAAACGGTCGCACAAGGTGTCGGACAGCCGTACCCCCCGACGGCACTCTTCGCCACGTAGGCGAGAAGGTACGAAAATATCTCCAAAACGGGACAGGGGGAGGGAGCGGACTCGTTCCCCAAGGAAACGGAGCCATAGCCCACGAAAACACGGTAATCGGCCACGAAGCCGATCTGGGAAATCGAGGCCCCGTTCCGCCAAACGACGGAATTCCCCGCAGAAGAAGCGTGGGCGGGACCAGCGACGGCGCAGAGAAGCATCCTCCTCTTCCGAGGAAAGCTCCAGCCGATCCAGGTCGCGTGATAGCTCCACAGACTCGAGAAGCAGCAGCTCGAGTGGGGAGGAATGTCGTGACTCTAGGCGGCGTAACCGTCCCCAGCAAGATTATGGCCGTGACAAAGACTATCGGGCTCCTCGGCTCAACAAATTCGATGGCCTGGCCCGCTCTGAGGCAGCCGGATGGCTCAGCCAACTCGTTCGGGCAGCTGATACCCAGCAATGGCCCCACAACACCCGCGTGAATCGCGCCGTTGCCCATCTAGTAGGGCGTGCTGGTCTTTGGGCAGAAGAGCTCCTCGCCAAATATGCAGAACCCCAGGAGGGTAAGGCGGACTCCTCCGAGCTTACCGTGACACGCCATCGGCTGACTTGGAAGAAGTTTCTGGCTAAGTTCCGAAAGAGGTTTCTGGGAAGTGCCCGCGAAATGCTGCGACAATTCCGAGATCGGAGAATGCGAAAGGACGAGCGGGTGCAGGACTACGCTGACGCGCTCTTCGCACTCCGACGCCGAATTCGGCAGAGCACTAAACACTCCGTGTCCAATGCTGAGTATATCGATGTGTATCTGGACGGGTTACCCCAGAACATCTCGGAATTCGTGGGCTCCCACATCGATGATGACGCTTCCCTATCCGATGTGGTGGAACGTAGCATCCGCCGAGAGGATTGGCTGCGTCGAGCCAAGGCTTACCAAAAACGAAGGAGCCGCGCCTATATGGCGGACGGGGACGACTCCGATGAAGGGTCGACAGAATCGTTGCAAAGGACGATTAAAAAGCTGGATCAGGCTTTGCGAAAGAACCTGAAAGCCCACCAGTCAGAGGGAACGGTGGAAAAGGCTCGCCGGAAGAAGCGGCTGTTCTGTAATAACTGCGGTAGTGCTGGCCACAATACACGGGACTGTGACGAAGATAGGTCCACCAGCGATGAGGCCGACGAGGCCCATTTGGCTATGACCGAAGAAAGAACGAAATCCGAGCGGAGATGTCGCTCGAAAAAGGCCAGTCAGAGGGCCCACTCGGTCGGGAAGGACGTGTCAACTAGTAGCTTAGGAGACACCTCTGAATCGGACGACTCCCTCCCCTCGGAGCATCATTGCATGTGGGAACATAGGGATTACCGATTTGACCCCCCATCAGCTGACAAGTATGCAAGGGAGGAGGAAACGGATGGAAGTGACATATTGATGGCTAAGCGTACGGCCGCCGAGGAACCGAGCGCCACTAAGCGGCAGGCGGGAACTCGGCGAGATGATACACCGAAGGTCATTCCCCGCCGGACTTCCAGTCGCCTGGCCTCTAAGGCTCCACCCCCACTGGCTGATGGAATGCCAGGGACTAGCCGTGATCCATTGAACATGGGCCAGCCACCAGACACACCGAATGGGGACGAGCCCATACACTCAACCAGTCAAGCGACTGGCAAAGAACCCCAAGGCACTGAGACCGTTGATCTCCGAACGGAAGCCGAATCTGGTGCCCCAAGGCCCCGCCGCCGGGTTGTGGCCGTACGGAATATTAAACCCCCCAAGCACTATCCACTCAGCGCTTGGAGTCATATTAGCAACGCCACCCAGACGGTACACACCAAGGACCTAATGGCACAAGTTCCCAAGTGCTGGGAGGATGCGTACTGTGGCCTAATGCTGATAAAGCCCAAAGGCGCAAAAATTCCACAGATCCCAGAGCTGACTCCCATTGATGAGACCATAGGGGAGGGAATGGCTGAGGATAGTGACCTGGGTGACCTGAATGTTATGATGGAAGCAGAGGAAATCGATTCAAGGGAGCGAGCTTCCCTACATACGGTGACATACGCTCCGGTCCGAATCGAGGGACACAAAGTCAGAGCGATTGTGGATACAGGAGCCACCCAATGTGTCCTTGCCTGGAGGAAGGCGGAAGAGTGGGGGATTTTGTCTAATGTACTACCCCCTATATCGCGTTTTCGATTGGCGTCGGGAGAGGTGAAAACCCCTGACGGCTACATTCCGCAGCTGAGAGTACAAGTCGGGGGCCTGGCCCTTCTGGTAGGAGCCCATGTGGTCCGAACTAAGACCTATGAATTCCTCCTGGCTGTCAACTGGCTGAAGCCAGCCAAGGCGGAAGTAAGGTTCAATAACAATACGCTCACTTTCGAAAAGAAATGCGGACGGGTAGGTTCCGTCAGTATTACTTGCGACAAGGAGGCTATCAAACCAAAAGGGGAGGAGGACAAGTGTCCAAGACCAGACACCCCCGTCCCCCAGCTGGTGCCCTATGGCGGAAAGGCGGTTACACCCCCTTTTCCTCCCACAGGAACCCCAACGGAACCGTTGATGGTGGCCAAACACTGGAACTCGGCGGCGCTCTTACCAATGGAAACCACACGGGAATTACCCCGGGAAAGTTACCCAGTCACTTCAACTGACGGGTCACAGGGGCGAGTTACCCTGGGTGCTTTACCCAGGGTAAGACGGACGCCCGTACTACCTTTCCCAGGCCCCTATGACCGAGGGGACACCTCGTCGCCCGAGTCATGGGTTAGTAGTGAGGGCGGTTCCGATCAAGTCATCCTCCTTGAGGACCCCACCTTTCCCGACGGAAACGTCCCCACCACCTGTGAGATATTTATAGACTCCGACGGAGAGGAGGTGGAGCTGGTAACCTTGCACGCCTCCGGACTTTACTGCCTAGCCGATATGGCCGAACCGAACGCTCCCAAGGTGGCATGCTCACGGGTGCGCATGGACCCCGCGCGTATCTGGGAACG